GCCATTGACTGGGCCCGGAACAGGTGTTGGTGTCTGTGCAGAAGACCACACTGATTCCTGGCTTGACTTAGTACTTAATGCTTTGGCTGGAGTTACAACAGGCTGCTCTGTATCAGCAGGAGTGCCGGTCTGGGTCAGATCAGAGTTGGACGTAAGGCCTGCGGTGAGGAGTTTAGCAGGGGACTGGGTTTGGTCCTGATCTGTAGTACCTCCAGACGGAGGGACTAAAGGAGGTGCTGTAGTTAAATGAGGTGATGCTGACGGTGTTGTGTTCATTGGGGAAGCAGAGCCGCTGTGAACCATGACGTCCTCCTTTGGCTTCTTAACCCCATCCCAATACCCGCTCTCTGCTCTCCTGTCCTCGCTTCCCTTTTGGTTTGTTGGACCGGCAGTATAACAGCCTTTCTAGATGTTATGCTCTCGCTTCCCTTTAGGTGTTCTTCTAGCCAGTACATTTGCCATTGTTCTTAAGCTTTTCCAACCACGACAGCAGACATGAATGTGCAGGTTGGACACTTTTCTGCGTGTTATATTTCCGCCATGGTCTCCTAATTGGTAGAGAAGAAAAAAAAGGAGAGAGAAAAAGTCGGTTTGTTTTTGCTCTGCGAGGCTCAACTTCAACAAACACGTTTATGTCAGCAGCACAAACGCAGATAAAAGCAGGCCTGCAATATAACAACAGGTGGGATTTCAACTGTGGCAAGGAAACCAAAACAATTTAAAAGATGCACACATCGCAGTGCACAGAAAATAAACCAGACACACAAGATGTGCATCAAATAAAATTTGCCCTAGCTTGTCTCACTAGTAGGAGTGTTCCTCGTGCTGTGCACACTGACTGTTTTAGGTCGGGGAGCAGCTGGAAGCTGCTTCTATCTCACCCCATCTTTAGTGTCACCTTCTATCACACCAACCCTACTGCACGTCCTCCTTCACTACAGGAATCTGCACTGCGGTCTCTTTTCCTCCTGCACAGCAGCTCCATCTTTAACATCCTTTGCCGAGCGCATCCTCAATCCCTGCTTTACACATGTCCAAACCATCTCATCTTCCTGACGCTGAAAACTGCCAAATTAAGCTCAACAGAACTCACTAAATGATTAAGCTGGTCTCATGGGATACACCACAGGACTCTCCACCATTTTGTAAACCTTTCTTTTCACCCTTGCTACCATCCTTCTGCCAAAAATCACCCCTGACACTCAGCACCACCCACCCCGCCCTGTCTGCAGTCTCTTTTTCACCCATCTTTTGCAGTGTGCATGGATTTCAGTGGCTGCTCGTGGGTATTTTAAGTCGCCCACCTTCACTCACACACCTGTATCCCTCCAATTCACAAACGTGGAGTGAATTGTTAATGATTAATTTCCAGGGACATGTAAACATCAACATGGTTGTCTTAAGATGACACAGGGCCATTTCTCTACCTGATACTTTACATTTAAAAAAACAAAAACAAAAACAAACTTTGAACCTACAAAAAAAGAAAAGAAAAGAAAAATAGATAAGACCAGGCCACAAGTCAGTGTACTCTAGTTCTGGTCTCGGGCCTGAATAAATGGAGAGTGTTGCATCGAGAAGGGCATCCTGTGTAAAATCTTTCCAAAATCAAACATGCGGAACATCAAGGAGGAGATTTCTATACAGGATCGGTCAGGGCCTGGGTTAACAGCGACCGCTTCCCAGTGCTTGTAGAAACTGGGCTACTGTTGGCCGAAGACAAAGCAAGAGGGAAGGAGGAAGGCATGTTCAGAAAGGCAGGTGTGTAGGAGTGAAAGCAGGGCCTTTAAATGTAGGTACTATGACTAGTAATGGTTTCGACATGTGCAGAGAAGAAATGCTGGACATATTGGACAAAGGATGGAGCTGCCAGGAAGGAGGAAAAGGTTCATGGATGCAATGAATGAGAGGGGTGGTGTGACGGAGGAGGATGCTAGAGACATGGTGAGATGCGGGCAGATGATCCCTTGCTATATTAAATTGAGGAGCCAAAAAGAAAACAAAAAACCGAAAACAGGCACTTTGATTATTTATCTGCTTGGTTACAAAGCATCTAAGTACGTCGCTGTTTGATTAACAGGTGGTTTGATGTTCCGACAGGATTCACTTGTTGTTACAGCGCGCCGTCACTTTTTCCCACAAATACAAAGCACATGACTGCATGCTACTGTCCTCTTAAAGTTCATGCTGCCTTTTAAAGAGTACCATGTGGCTCGGGGAAACTCTGAGCGTGATATGAATTAGCAACTACACAGGGAGAAATTGCTGTCGTTACAAATGCCTGGTAAAACTCACTTACGTTATCAAGTTAAATGAAAACTGCTCCGTTAGCTGCCCCAGTCTGACATTTGGGCTCCAACAAACGGAGCAGGTCCGCGCATCATTCAGCAATATAACGCACCACCAAATTATTTAACGGGTGGCATAATATGACGTTGCACAAAGTTCTGCACAAGTTTGTCATTGCGCTCAAGCGAGCTAAGTTAGCTAGCTGCAGCCAAAGCACAGGCGAAAACACAAAGCAACGACTACACACATTTCCTCCATTTTCGAGAGGAAGTTGGGGGCGCAAAAAGACAAAGAACGAGCTGCGAGTCATTACTCGAAGTCTGCCGGATTTGATGAGCCAAACCACAGCAAGAAGCTACAAGAAACATATTTCTACTATACCTTGTCAGTCAAACAACAAACTGAGTTTTGTCTGGCCACGATTTGCACAAATAACAATCAAAGCTGTCGTCGCTCGTTGATTGCGTCACGGCTTCGGAGTGCGCTTCGGCTGTGTCCGGAAGCTGTCGCGAAGCATCCTTGAGATTTCAGGTTCTCTCTTCTTATTTCATTTCTACCACGATGCAAAAGACAAAAGCTTTATTTTATTTATTTAATTTGATCCCATTTGTTTTGTTTTTATTGTTATGTTTTATTTTTATTGTTCATGTTCAAAAACTTTACGTCCATAGTTTTTTTTTAACTGGGGACATAAAGTCTGTCAACAAAGATTGTGGAAAAAAAGGGTAATGTTATAAAAGCTCCTGTTTTACATTTCATTGTTCGGTGTGTACACTTCACGCGTTCATACCCAGTGTTGGGTAAGTTATTTTGAAAACGTAATTGATTATAGTCAAGTTATATTTTTTACTGTAACAACCACAAACACGTTTATTGAATCATATTTCATAACTTTATATGCAAATATAAGTTGTCAGTTTTAAAATCCTATGCACCAGTTTTGCAAAAAACAAAGTTACTTGCAGCCGTTTGCCTTTTACCCTTTAGTATAACCGTTTCAAACTATTTACATAGCAATCGGGTGTTCTGCATTAGATAAGATACCACACAGATTATTTGTTTGTTTTTATTTTTGGTCATAAGCAGAGTGCTTGCTGCGAAAAAACGCCGCGTATATCTTGTTAATCATGACTCTGGTTTTAAGTGGCCTATCAACACAATTTAAAAACTGGTATATGTCACCTTGTTGCTTCGTCATCTTGAAGTGGTCATGTGATTGTCTTACCACGACTACTTTATTCTTCCTCAGTCAAGCAGCAGCACTCGTGCGATTGTTTTGCCCCCTTATCTCCAGGTGTTGTGCCAAAACGTGATCGTTGGGCAGAAAGCTGTAGCGCCCAGATTACTTACAGCTACTTCCGTGCAACTGATATAAGATGCCGTAAGCTGAACACAGCTTCAACCGTCTGTTTGTTGCAAAATAGTAACGCGACCGCATTTTCTTGTTAGTAACGGTAACGGCCTTGTAAAGATAGGAATAGTAATTAGTGAGATTACTCGTTACTGAAAGAAGTAACGTGGTTAGTAACGCCTTTAGAAACGCCGGAGAAAGTGCTGCAGCCAGATCAAACCAAAATCAAGCTCTCTGGCATCAACTATAGAAGAGATTATATGATTATAAGACAAAGAAGAAGCATTGAGGGGCCATGTGCATGGGCGAGAACCTCCTTCCCTCAGCCAGAGGACTGAAGATGAGTCATGGATGGGTTTTCCATCATGACAATGGCCCAAAACATACGAGCACGGCAACAAAAGAGTTGTTAGGTAGCAGCCAATAAACACTACTGAGAGAGCTTCTGTAAAGAGGAGTGGGTCAAAATCCCTCCTGAGATGTTTGCAAACCTGGTGACCAACTACAAGAAACATCTTGCCGATGTCCTTTCCAATAAGGGTTTCTCCATCAAGCGCTAAGTCATGTTTTGCTTGGGGATGAAATACTTATTTCACTCACTAACATGTAAACCAGTTTATAACATTTATGGAATTTTTTTTCTTTCTTTTTGGTTGATTCTCTATCTCACTCCATTAAAACGAAACACCCATTAAAATGAAAAGATTGTAGTCGTGGTATTGATGGTGTTGATGATTTGGTGTAAAATTGATGTCATTTTTATTAGACCTTAAATAAATTTTTCAGCCCTGTAAATGTTCCTGCCACGAATCCACTGTGAGCCTGTAACTTGAAAAAATAAATAAATAAAACCAGCTGATTCTGGAATAATCAGTTGGGACGTATTCACTGTGTTTTCAAGGAATAACCGATGTTTAGTAAAACTTGAGCATGTCAGCCCAGACAGAAGTGAATCTGCTCCCTGCCGAGTTTCCTGATGAGCCTGAAGAAGTTTATTTTATTCGATCGATGTAAAACATATAAACGGCTTAAACTGCAGAAATTTCCCAACTTGAAATATTAAAGACAGCTTGGTTATAAAAGCTGATTAGATGTTAATCAGCTTTTATACATTTAAAAATCTTTGGACTTACTGTAGTTACTGTTATTATTGATTACCCAGCTGGTGTCATCATGGACAACTGCAGTGATAAAACCGAGAGGATTCGATATCAGCATTTAATAGACTTCAGGGTTGCAGTCAACATTTGTTCTGTGCTTTCACAAACACTATGAGCATCATCATCTTTTATATTTACCACATCAATGACACAACATATTCCATATTTTGATCATCTTTAATTACAAAAAAGGACAGGAAAACAATAAATAAATCTACTAGTAAAAAAAGTAAAAGCTTAAACTACAAATTATGAACAGGAAAAGGTTACATAGGAGAATATTAACTTACCGGTTGCACACCAGAAGTTTCCAACAGACTTAAAGCAACAATCTGACTTTTAACAGGAGTCTGACGACCACAGGTGTAGCTACGTTAGCTTTCATCGTTTAATGACATGGGCGTACTATTATGTAAAAAATTATTCACACAGCCCGGATTTGATCGAACAATTACATTTACCTATACAAAAGTAAAAACAAGCAAACAAACAGGTTAAAAACATACGGACAAAATATGAAAATGTCTGAGCTTACATTAAGACCGCACTAACCTCAGAGATTATGCATCGAGATATAACAGTGGGCCTGTTGTTGCTATACATAACTTATTGTACATAAGGTCAGTGCTATGTTTTCTCTACTAGCATGATCAAAAACAACAGACACACAGAGTCTCTGTCCAAGTGTCATTTGGCTCGAGTGACGTGAGGTTTTTAGACTGAATCTCATCTTTATACCAAACGCAACCGTGCGAGAAGTCTCACTTTTCACAGACATGAGAAAAATAAAACAGGGACGTGGTTGTTGGTGCCAACACAAACTGGCACCGTGCATATGTACAGTTCATATTAAATTCTTACAAAATGATAAAGGCTCATGCTGTTAACCATTAGAGCAAGCCCGCAACCTTCATAATCTTTGCAAAGTGATTCAATGAGAGAGAAAAATATACAAAACAGAAAATGTCTTTAATCTGAGAGGAATCTAAATCTCTGAGATTAATGTTCTTTATGTTATAGTTTAAGTCATGTTCCCTTAGTGCACAGTGGAAGACTACAGAAAAGTGATGGTGGAGGTGCTGCAGCTGGAGCCTGCAAGAAAAGATCGGTACAGGTAAGAGAACCAAAGAGAAACCGATTTTAAAAAAGTGAACGTTTCAGAGAAAAAATAAATCATGTGCTTATGTGATTACCTATTAAAGCGTTGTGTTGATAGCTGGAGTATATATGGTCTTGGAGACTGCGGTGCCACTGCTGCCCCCTGCTGTTAACACCTGGAGCTGCAGCTGGTAAACGCTGTCGGCCTGAAGACCATAGACAGTCACCGACCTCTGAGACTGCGGAGGAAGAAGAGAGTTCACAAAAAACTAAAGTAAAAGCATAAATAGGATTGAAAGTAAAA